GCGTTTACTGTGATCTGCTCACGGGATTCACTGTGATCTTGTTCGCGCCCGTGTAAAACTCGATAGCGCCTATTCGTCGTATTTTCGTCTCCTGCGGGAGACGAAAGATAGGCGGCTTGGAGGCGCAAGGAAGGCGAATTGGAGACGACAAAGAGGCGAAATGGCGACGGGAAGAAGACGAGACGCTCGTCTCCGCCTCGTCGTCGGCACGACGCCGTTCTGTCAGCGATTCGTCGCCGTTTCCTCTCTTAAATACGTCTTTCAGCGGGCGAAAAGGGAGACGAAAACAAAATGGATGCTGAGAAAAATGAAGCACGGTGTAAGCCGGTGGTGGGCGTCGAACCTCGCAACTGTGGGTTGGAGAGCGAGGGCGGAACCGCTTGGCCAGAACGATTCCGCCAGTCTTGAAGAGTGACACCGTTAGTTCAGGAGTTCGCACATTGCTTTCCATTACAGTGTAGACTTTGACGTTGACTTCTCTTGATATGCGACTATGCGACTGTCTCTAAGTATGTATTTAGTGAGTACATGTCAGCAACGGATTGTACGTCGTTAAAAGGAAAGTCTTGGAAAGTCATGCTGCATTGATGTTTAATTGTCTCCTATTGATGACATTCCGGCACCGCTCTTCGAGACGTGCGGAATAGTTCTGGCCGAACGGTTCCGCCCTCGCTCTCTAACCCACAGTTGCGTGGTTCGACGCCCACCACCGGCTTACTCCGTGGTTCATTTTTCTCAGCATCCATTTTGTTTTCGTCTCCCTTTCGTCTCCATGTCGTCGCTGAAAGACGTATTTAAGAGAGGAAACGGCGACGAATCGCTGACAGAACGGCGTCGTGCCGACGACGAGGCGGAGACGAGCGTCTCGTCTTCTTCCCGTCGCCATTTCGCCTCTTTGTCGTCTCCAATTCGCCTTCCTTGCGCCTCCAAGCCGCCTATCTTTCGTCTCCCGCAGGAGACGAAAATACGACGAATAGGCGCTATCGAGTTTTTCACGGGCGGTGTTCACTGTGATCTGGTCCCCAGTAAGCACTGTGAGTTTGACGCCGCTAAGCACCGAAGTACTGCAAATCAGGCTCCAATTCACGGCGTTTACTGTGGCCAGATCACAGTGAACACTGTAACCGAGGTCACAGTGAACGCCGTGAACTAGTTCACAGCAAACGCCGTGAATTGCATAACAGCAAACATTGGTAATAAATTAACGGCGTTGACAGGACATTTTTGGTAGAGTGTGTGTGTCATTGAAGTAGGACCCCGGACCCCGAGCACGTAGTGGGACTTATCCATGTATTACGCGCAGTGAAGTGACAGTGAAACTACCAGAACCACCCACTGTTAAAAATTGTTGTTTTAAAACAACAACACAATTACCAACCTCGACAACGCTGTTGTTTGTGAACAAGTTTGCTTGTTTTAAAACGACGAATTCGTTGCTAATTATTTTTATGACTTATGCTGTTTCAAAACAATATTTTGCTGCGTACAAACAACCCGGACAATCTAAGAAGTGGTTACTGCCGGGTAACCGGGTCTCTACTAGGTCTGTGACCTAATCGGCAATAAAAATTGATGCAAATAAGGCTGTCTACCGGTTTACAAACATCTTGTGGACGAACGACGCAACTCGTTAGTAAACAACGAAAGTCATTTGAAAACAACTTTGATCGCTAAGAAAATTAGCAACATATTTACTGCTAAATTACAACAAAATTTTTTACAGTGCCGAGCATCCCATCACCACCATGGACCCCTTGCGCCTGGGGCCCTCACCCGCGCCCCGTGTGGGCGTGGGCGCTTCACGCGGCGCTACAAGAAACTGCTGAGCCTGCACACCGACGTCGTAGTGGACAACAGCGCCACACCGCGTCGCCCAGCAGCGCAGCCACGGCGGCCTCAACCAAAGCTACGTGACAGCTCACCCACATGTCTATATTTATAGCCAAGGTGGCTAGGAGATTTGCGCGACCAAACTTGCCCACATGCTCAAATTTAGTATCTTGTGGGTTGAAAAAGTTGCTGTCCACGTGAGAGGATTTACACATGTGGAGATTCTCGGGTGGCCCACCATGCCACCTGTAGAAAAATTAACATTGTGGGTAAGCTGGGATACTCAACTTGCGCACAAATGCAAATCATTGGCTGAGCGATAGCGAAGCCTGTTACTCCAGTGCGGTTGAAAAGTTTTGTCTGTCTGTCTGTGTGTGTACACTACTCCTCCTGAACGGCTCGGCCGATCTGGCTGAGATTTTGCAGGCTTATTAAGGTAAAAAATCAATTGTGGGTCACATTTTTAACAAGGTAGGTTTACGCCAGACCGCGTCTTGTCGTAACAGGCTTCGCGATGTCTCGCTGCCTGCTCCTCCAATCCACGCCTGGCGTACCTACCTTGGCCTGCGGCGCTAGCCTGCCTGCGGCAGGCAATGGCTTGTCCGTTGTCGGTTATTTTTTAACTTGTTGGATGCTGGGGGGCTCCGCCCCCCAGACCCCCCTACATTCTAAATAGAGTTGTTTTATCTACAGATAACACGATCTTGACCCTTGTCACTTTTTAACTTGTCGTAGCTGGGGGTCTCCGCCCCCCAGACCCCCCTTTCTCCAAGACAGAAGTGGTCTATCTGCAGAAATCTCTATTTTTCGCCGTTTTTTAGGTGTTTTTCTCCTATAAAAACTGAACCAGTTGAGCTAGGATGGTGAAATTTCGCGTGTGCTGAGCCAAGGACATACTCAAGAAGTGTGCAAAATCTCACCGAGATCGGCCGAGCCGTTCAGGAGGAGTAGTGCGGACACACAGACACACAGAAGGGGAAATAACTCTGAATTTCGGTGTACAAATGAATGAATTTCGTGAATTTCATTGAATTTTTTGAAATTCAGTGAATTTTTTGAATTTTATTGATTTTTTTTTGAATTTTAGTGAATTTTTACGAATTTTGGTGAATTTTATTGAATTTCAATGAATTACTTTGAATTTTTTGAGTAAATTTTTGTGAATTTTGCTGAAGTTTAATGAATTTCTAAGAAATACTTTGAATTTTGTAAACTATAAAGAATTTTTGAATTTTGGTGAATTTTAAGAATTTTCGTGAATTTCAATGAATTTTTGTGAACTTTAATGAATTTTGGTGAATTTTAATGAAATTTGGTTAAGTTTTTGCAATATTTCAGTGAAAATTTAATGAATTTTTTTGAATTTTAATAAATTTTTTTGAATTTCTTTGAATTTTTTTGAATTTTAATTCAAGTGTCACACAGACAGACAGACAGACCGACAGACAGACAGACAGACAGACAGACAAAACTTTTCAACCCCACTGGAGTAACAGGCTTCGCTATCGCTCAGCCAAAAATTCCAAATAAAGGCATTTTATTTTGACCTGGTGACAAAAGTGCATGTGCGGTCTTTAACTAGGGTCCTTGGACTAAGTTTTGCAGCATAGTAGCTCCGTCTATCATCCTTATTTACTAAGCTGTGGCTGTTTTAAAAATAGTCTGTTTTGGCCCACAATTGATTTTTGTAACCAGTTGTGGGTTAGCATTGTAGAAAGCTCAAATTTGGATATGATTTGCTTAAATGCGAGAGGAATTCACTTTTGAATTTATTTTTCGGAATCGTGAAAACTGCAGGATCTGTAGCACAATGAATCAATTGTGGGTCATATCAATTGCGGGCCATTTCGTCTTTTTGCTCGTAAATTGACCACTTTTGCAAGAGGTTTTCTTATTTTCATTAATAAAAGGGCCCTGGTTCTCAATTAACCAAGCAGGCACGTTTTTCACTCTAAGAGGAAAAATATGTAAACAGGCCTATTTCACTGTGAGACAGATGTGAGTTAAACGTCCTGGATTAGAGACGAAACTTTTCTAGTGCACATTCTAGGGCCGCCGGTGTGGTAGACAATCCAACACCACACCCTGTCATCGTGAGGTATTGCTACAGTTTATAATCTATTTCAGTCAGAATATTTAGTCTGTAGGGATTGATTTGACTCCTACAGGGCCGGACTGGCCTCGGGTGCCTAGCCTCTGCAGTTAGAGAGCGGTCCCCTTCCGGGCGCTATGAAAGCCCCGCAATGCGCCCCCCCCCCTTCCCAACAAAAAGAGCCTTATGGCGGACTGGAAGTAAGAGCTAGCGTTGTCATTCGGGGCTGTAGCCTACGCTTAACAACCTTCGTGTTGTAGTACTAAATGTGACAGAGCAGAAAAATGGAATTTACTGTGATACATCAGTAATTCAGAAGCGCTGAAAACAAAAAATTTAAGAAACACTACCGTAAAATTCGTCTAAAATAATGGGTCAGACATTGTGTCGAACGCTACTTTGCCATCACCCGCGCACCATGGCATCGAATGATTTCGGCTGTACTATGGTAAATTAATGTTCCCTGACCTATTATGAACCTAAATCAGCACGGGCGTCCCGTTTTATCTCGTAATGGCTTCACGGTGGCAATTTGAAAAACACACGATCTTTCGCCTCGTTGGATGGGCGCCATTTTCACGACTTTTTGAAGGGCCTTCCTTTGAAGCCTGACAGGAGCTGTTACAGTCGTCGCTCGGACATACACGCTATTTGGGGGGACAAAGAAAGGTTGGAGGAAGGTCTACCGCGAAATTCAAATCGATTCAGTCTCCACAGGGTCTGCGGTGACCCGTCGAAAAAAATGACCCACAATTGATTCGTGACCCACAATTGATTTTTTACCTTAGGTATGTTCGTGGCTCGGCACACGCGAAATTTCACTATCCTAGCTCACGTGGTTCAGTTTTTATATCCGAAAAACACCTAAAAAACGGCGAAAAATCGAGTTTTCTGCAGGCAGATATTTCTGTCTTGAAGAAAGGGTCTGGGGGGCAGAGCCCCCCAGCCCCGAGAAGTTGAAAAGTTACAAGGGTCAAGATCGTGTTATCTGTAGATGAAACAACTCTATCTGGAATGAAGGGGGGTCTGGGGGGCGGAGCCCCCCAGCATGCAACAAGTAAGAAGTAACCGACGATGGATAAGTAAATGCCTGCCGAAGGCAAGAGTGCACCACCCGAAGAGTGGTCTCCCTACACCGTAAGTCCGGACTGGGGCGGGTTCCGCCGGGCACAGTGTAGGTAGACCACTCTTCGGGTGGTGCACTCTTACACCGTGGCCGGACTTGGCCGGTCGGTCGGACTCTGCCGGGGCTTAGCCAAGGCTTTGCCGGATTCCTATAGGAGACATTCCATGCCGGTTCGGCCAGGGCCTGAAGGTGACCATTGACGATTTCCGCGCCACTTTGGCATTTTTTTGTACTCGTCGAGATAGGGCGATTGCCAAATTTTTAGGTCCCTAAGTCCATTTTTGCGCCCAGGGTGGCAATTTTTAGATTTCTCTGAACTTTCTTTAGTGGTTTTGTTGAAATTGCGCTTCGAAGTCCCTTTCTTGGCTCTCCACGGCACAATTTCAACGCCAGCTCAATGATTTTGTGCTTAAAAGATGCGTATTAAATAGAGGAAGAGACTCCAGTGGTCAAATTCTACTTTTGAAGTCATCTTCGTGGTGATCCAAGCGATTTTGTAAATTAAAAACATGTAAAAATGAGGTAATTTTTGCTAACTTTGGCGAGGCATCTTTCGATGACCGACATCGAAATTTGAACTTTTTCTAACGGATTCTTGAAGGTCTCGAGGAGATCTTTCGAGTTCCGGTGCCAGAAAGTATGGGACCGGCCCTAGTTTATCCGCTACACCGCTCCAAAGTTTCGAAAAATCCCAAATTTGCACTAAATGGTGCAAGGAGTGGACTTTCGCTTGCAGGCCCACGGCAATTGCCATGCGAGTCCCAGGCCATCTCGGCCCGACTAAAACTGACCCCTGCAATAACTTCAACTTGATCCCAAGCCCCAGGGTCACTCACCGGCTCGGGGGTAAAGGGGAAGGGAGGAAAGAATACAGTGAATTTTCACAAAATTATGCCCTAAGCTTATATGTCGTCCAAGCCCCGCATCAGTGGTGATTATGGACCTCAGGCCAACGCCGCTTCCTCATTGGTCGAATTCATCTGGTTTAAGCTTACCCATGAGTGCCCAATTTTGAATTAATTGAAACAAATTTAGTCCAATAGCATTTGTGATGAAATATAACAGCTATTGGAATGGGAACGTGTTAGTGTTCTTTCTTAACTCAAAATTGTTTTTTTCTGATGTTTTTGCTTGTTCTTTAACTATGCAATTTTCTGTTGCAGATGTCATTCTTTGCAAATCTTTGTGCCAAATTGGAAGCCCATGTGGGTAAACGCAAACCAGACGAACTCGTGAGAGGAATTGCTTAAAAAGCATACAAATTCGCACTGAGAAAATCTGATTTCGAAGATCGGCCAAAGTCAGGGGTTTACCCAATGAACTTAGTTGCGTATGTCCAGGATCCAAATTCACGCAACAAGTATTACGTCACCATGCCGGCATTGTACAACGATCTTCAAGAAGAGGAAGTGAAGGAGTTAATGATGCTATTGCTGCTAATAAGATACCATTCATTGTCTTCTACGGCAAAGACAACAAACGTAACGACTGTGTGTTGCACGAGTCCCATGAGAGTAAGTACATTTTAAGTTTTTGTCATGAGAAAATGAATTGTTTTGTTTATTATTTTTATCCTTACTTTTTATTTCTACTTTCAGGTATTGATCTGGCTAAGCTGTCTGCGATCCTATGATGAACAATACTCTGAAAGTGGCCCAAAGCCCAAGAAACCACGAACAGACTCTGATGCATCAACTAGCAGCGGTTCAATTCGAGACTAGTTTTTCTGTAGTTCATTAAAAGTGTAATTTGGTGTACTGGTTGTGAAGCCCTAATAATAATAAGAATTGAGAGTTTAGTTTTGTATTTGGTATTGGCGTTTCAAACAGCTACCGCCGCGCCACTAGCGGCCGCCGCGCGAACTAGCGAATCCGTGATCGCGTCGCCCGGCCTCCATAGGCGTCTTATGGGACGCGGCGTTGTTTACGTGATTTAGGTCTTATATTTCTCGTTTATACCCAATTGACATCATTAAAATGGAAGATAGGGTAGTGCAGAACACTAAAATGAAGAAGGACAGGCACAATTGCTGTGTTCCTCAATGCAGTGCAGTGAAAAGTGCTAACAATCATTTGCATCAAGTCCCGAAGGAAGAAGGTCTTCGAAAGGCCTGGGCGATCGCTATAAAAACGGGAAAAAGCCTGAATCCAAAGATGACCGTGTGCAGCAAGCATTTTTTGGACACAGACTACATTATTTCACGTAAGTGAGGTGTCATGTATGAGTTACTACTTCGCCTCCAAGGGTTATGTGCACAGCCACATCCACACGAAGTGTAGTATTTCTTCTAACTATTTGCTCTTTTTATTTATAGTTGGGGCTGGTTTGAAGAGACGGCTGAAACCAGGAATAATTCCAAGTCAGAATCTGCCCAATAGAGTACATGACAAAGTAGTTTCATCCCCTGTCAAACGCAAGAGACAGGAGAGAGTGGAAAGAGTTGCGAAGAGGAGGTTGTTTTCTGTTACTGTCTCTTTGTTTATTTATCTTTTACGTCCAATTAATTCAGGACTAAAAATTTTTATTTTGTCTTGCAGGTCTAGGGAAATTGATGGAAAAGCTGTTGAAAAAGCTGCATCAGGTTTGGGTTGTGCATCAATTGCACAACAGTTGTAAACAGCTTCACTGTATAAGCCGTTTATATAATTTTTTTATGTGCTTTTGCTCTTTTTTTGTTTCAATTTGTAGTTTCTTATGGATCACTTATTATTGTTTATCAATTTTTCTCTTTAATCAACTTAATGTGGTAGTAATCAAGACTTGGAGTCCCCATAATCGAATCAACTTATTTTGGTTAATCAACTTCTATTCATGGACTGTCTTAGTATTAAATAAGAATTGATATTGAATGTGTGGATTCTTCGGTTCTGATTTGTTTGCAGTGTATGTGTTTTTTTTTCCATATATAACCGAAGGATGGTTCCTCAAAGACTTCAAAGTTTCAAGACTGTTGCGAATGCTACAAAGAAAACAGTTCTTGGCCCGTCCGGTATGAAATAAATTACAATAGAGACGGGCATGTAGTATGATGTATTCTGTGCCGGGGAGGGAGGGGGCAGAGCGCTCCGTGCCGCTTTGAAGAAGGTTAAACACTAAGGTTCAAAATACAGAATGATTTATTTACAATGGTACACGCGTGAAGAAAAGAAGAAATCAGTTCAATCCATACAAAAGGATAAGTGTCTCAATGCAACATTATCCAGCAAATTTATGGAAAAATGTTACAACTGTTCCAGCTTCCGAGTAGTTTTTGGTTACAAAATTCGCCACAACTTTCAGTCGCATCATTAATTCTTGATGTGAGGGGGTGCGAATAATCTCGTCAGCTGGTTTCAGGTGATGTATTGGGGGTGGGGAAACCACAGAATCGTTACAGTTTCACCTCTTAATTGGGAAGGGTTGTACGTAAATGCTTTTATAAAACTAGACCCGTCATCAATCGTCCGGGAATTCGTTGTCGACTTCATCACCAGGAGGGCGGATGACAACCTGCAGACCTGCCCCGTGTATGGGCTTTCCTGCCATTATATACCAAGACTGGCCTCCCCCAAAGGAAAATTCAAGGTTTTCCCCCGACAGTTCCGAATGCTACCAGAACAGGTTCTTTTTGGGCCCGGTCCGGAAAGAAAAAAAGTCACAATAAAAGACGGGCATGTAGTATGATGTATTCTGTGCCGGGGAGGGAGGGGGCAGAGCGCTCCGTGCCGCTTTGAAGAAGGTTAAACACTAAGGTTCAAAATACAGAATGATTTATTTACAATGGTACACGCGTGAAGAAAAGAAGAAATGCAGTTCAAATCCATTACAAAAAGATAAGTGTCTCAATGCAACATTATCAGCAAATTTATGGAAAAAATGTTACAACTGTTCCAGCTTCCGAGTAGTTTTTGGTTACAAAATTCGCCACAACTTTTTCAGTCGCATCATTTTAATTCTTGATGTGACTGGGGGTGCGAATAATCTCGTCAGCTGGTTTCAGGTGATGTATTGGGGGTGGGGGAAACCACAGAATCGTTACAGTTTCACCTCTTAATTGGGAAGGGTTTGTACGTCTAAATGGTTTTATAAAACTAGACCCGTCATCAATCGTCCGGGAATTCGTTGTCGACTTCATCACCAGGAGGGCGGATGACACCAACACCTGCAGCACCTGCACCAGGGCACGCAGGCTTGCCCTGCCCACCTTGATAGTAGCAACGACCCTGCCTCCAGCCAGGGCATGCCTTGTAACATTCAAGGTTTTGGCCTCCGCAGCAGTCTCCGAGTCCGCTTCCCTCGCACGGTTGGTCGTGAGATTTGCACGCCTCGGATCCTGGAAACAAAGAAAGTGTCACAATAAGCAGACAGTTCTCAGGCTGTCCGACCAAGAGTCACACTTCCAGGAACGTGACATCACGTTGAAACGAACGTGACAAAATGTCACGTTCGTTTGAGCATTGTATCACATTTGTTTTAATGTGAACGAGGTGGTTTTTTGCCAATTCACACCCAAACGAATGTGACTCAATGCTCAACCGAACGTGACACTTTGTCACGTTCGTTTCAACGTGATGTCACGTTTCTAAGCGTGCGGCGGCTGACATGCGTGATTCGCTACGCCCGGTTATGCTAGACCTAATACACTGTAGCTGGCAATCCTAACCTTGACCTGCGGTCCTAGCTTGCGGAATAGGTTGGAGCGATAAGATGCAAACCGCAGATTGGACCGTTTTTGAAGCCTTTCTTTACGCATGAAACTCACGGGCCAGCACATTTGAGTGCTGAACACAGTGTCAAAAATATAAATCATCCCTTGGGAAAGTGCGCTTTTTTGTGGAGAAAATACGTAAACAACCTGCAAGCATGGTCGGTCATACCCCTCTACATGCCTTAGGAATGTTTCACACGAAATCTCGATATCAAATGGTTTGCGCGCTAGCTTCGGTGAAAAAGCCTGCTGCAGGACATTTCCAGGGTATGTAAGGGAGAGTGGGGTAATTCCGGACGCTTTTTTTCTTTTTGGTCTTTGAGCTTGAATATGCTTCTTGGGTCAAATGTTATCACAGGAGAGTATAGTATGGACCTTTACCTTCAAAATGGTATACATGAAAGCCAAATCTCAGCTACGGTTAGGGAGATATAGGCGCCTAACTAAAGCCCTGCACGTGTCCGGAATTGCCCCAGCCTGGGGTATTTCCGGACGACCTAGGGGGCAATTCCGGACGACCTTAAAATTTGACACTACTCAAGCTTACTTTCGCTTGTTTTGATGTGAGGCATGCTTTTAGTAGGCGTACAAGGACATTTGCTGCGAACTGAAGTGTTTGATTATTACTCAAAGCATATTATAAGGAGTAGTTTCTATCAAAACCCCTAAATTGACAACAATGTCTTGAGTAAAGCTCTTAAACATAGCTGAAATGCTATTTTTCGTTATTTCTTTAGCCTTCTGAACGGTGGGGATGCATGTTCACAATTTTGAACCCACTACCTTAACATTATGCGGGAAATTGAAGAAAATAACCCGTCTTGTCCGGATTTACCCCACAGGTAGTGAAAACCTTGGATGTTCCATTGTAAGAAAACGGCGAGCCATACGAGCACTCCCGAAACGCCAAAGTAAAGTCCAATGACCATATAATATGATAAAATTTTAGTCATGGGACTGAACTAGGCGGTAAGGTACGATAAGTACATGGAAATAGGAGGGAAAGATGCAGCTTTTGCCTATTTTTGATGGTACTCAAATTTCATGAAGCGACCACAGCCAAACGGTTTGACCTCCTACCTTGGCGGTTTGGAATTATCATTTATAACTGATTATCTTCCTCTGCCAGGCGGGCTTTTGAGTTATCTTCACTCTAACCCAGTGAAAATCGAAGTGTCCGGAATTACCCTGTGTCCGGAATTACCCCACTCTCCCTTACGCTCTCTGATATCGGCCATAAGTTGCGCCAACAAAGTTCATTGTGTTTACTCTCATATGCAAAGTTAGACTCCACTTTTACTGGTCATTTTACGACAGCCTTGTATATCTCTCACTGCAATGACCCACAACCTTAACTTGCATTTAAATAATTTCTTATGGTGGGTGTCCAGTTAACGAGGAAAACAGTTACTGATACGTGTCTGCTTCGGTAGCGTCCGACAAGCGCGGATCCAGAGGAAAAGGGGGGGAGGACAATTGTCCCTTTCTTGACTATCAGATAGCGGCCTGAAAGGTGGGCAAAAAACAACACTTTGCCCCTTTAAGTGGGCAAAAAGGGCTACTTTGAACCCCCCCACCCACGTGACACATTATTTACAATACTCTTTCAGTTTCATCTGTATGTCGTTACGTGTAATGTATCATCTGCAAGAAACTGGATTAAATGTCGATTCCACGAGGGCTGGTTTTGGCAATTCACCCTGCACCGTCATGCGATTTAAAACTTACCTAAAACGAAGACGGAAACCACGCAGATCCCAACGAGAAGGTAAAGACGAACCATCTGGAAGCAGAAGACCGTATGTGGGATAAGTATTTCTAGATACTGCCATAATAGGAGCGGTAACTGCCATAAATGGCAGTTATATACAGCCATTCGACGCCCGTCCATCCACGCCATGTCAGCTCGGCGTCACTACACTGTTAGTCAGGGGTGCTCTGAAAGTTCGAGTCTATAGGCGCTTGCCGTAGGTTTTGTGCCGCCTTGAGTCGTCTCACCACGTAACGCCGAAAGCGAGAGGGAAATCACTCAAAAATTGTAACCGGCCTACTCCGTATTACGTTCTATTACGCTTTGTTACGCAATTACAAAAGTCTTATTACGTTTGCACAGACCGAGATTTAAGCTTGAATCAGACCTTTGTAAAGGAAAATTCAGAAAATTTTTGGCTATTACGCTACTATTGGTGACCTGACTATTACGCGAGTGATTTCCCCCTCGGCTGAAAGGCGCCTGGAAACAAAGCGCCTTCGGTGCTCTCTTCTGAAACACCTTCTTGGGCCCAAACGACTGCATGAGATAGCAATGCATGCATGGCTGCTAGACTTACTTGCAATCTCATGCAGTGGTTTGGGCCGAAGGTGTTTCAAAAGAGAGCGCCCAAGCGCTTTGATTTGATACGCCTTCTGGCGTTTCGTGGTGAGGAGACTCAAGGCGGCACACAAAACCTAAGGCAAGCGTCTGAATGCGTTAACTTCCAGAGCACCCCAACATTGCAATGTACATACTTCGTCAATTTCAGTAATAATCTTCTTTCACAAATGCAATTGTTTAATTGTTCATGCGTGCTTTTCGCATAGCTCTACACAAACTTAAATTTAAGAGAAAGAGCTTCACCACGCACCATTCTATCGAGCTGTGACTGTCTAATAGTTTTAAACGGTTCAGAAAAACGGTTGACCCGCCAAATAAACATCTTTTAAACATTTCGAACCCTCAATATTATGAAGGAAAAACTTTTTTTCCCCAAAATCAGACTACTTTCAAATCGAAGAGTGTACATGGTATGCTCTAACTGGAGCATGCCTGCAAGTACGCTCTAGCTAGCGCATGCCTGCCAGGCATGCATTAACTAGTGCATACATGCCATGTACACGCCAACTGAAGCATGCATCTAGTGCATAAGGGATAGGAAATTGCCTGCATCAGGAAGCGTGAGCATGGCATGTATGCACTATGCTAGGCAGGCATGCGCTAACTAGAGCGTGCTTGCAGGCATGCTCCAGTTAGAGCATACAATGTACGCTTTTCGATTCGTAGAATATATGGCTCAAGACACGTCGTCGCCAGCCATGGGAACATCTTTTAAAGATATAAAACCCTATATAATGTGTGTTTTAACAAGGAA